TCTATAATACAATAATAAGATGGGATAATATAATTTAGGCATGAACTCTGAAATGCCTCATTACCCCTCTCAGGTGTGATGAAGCAGCTAGTTAGAAAGTGCTGATCTAAAGCACGGAAATATTTGAAGCAAGAGGATGAGGGAATGTAAGGTGTAAAGACCCCACAGGAAGGCTCAGTCCTTTGGGAAGTGGTCCTGGCTGTTTAATTAGGTTCATTTCTAGAATTTAAAGAGAGAGCTTGGTCTTGCTACCTTCCTCTGCTGCGGAAAGAGAAAGGACAGCCTTTGTGGTGAACTGATGGAAGATTAGTGACCTCCAAACTGAAGAAAAGCCAAAGGAAGGAAATGCCTCCTCCTTCAGCTGTTCCCTTACCCTGAAAATATATAATTACATCTCCTATATGCTGTAGACAGGAGTTAATGTGTTCTCATATGTTGATGCAGCTGCTGGGATTATTGTGGTTGCTGCTGGAGCTCTTTGACAAATAAGAGAATATTTTAGTGGCATTGGCTCTGAAAATTAACCATTTCCTTCAGAAAACTGGAAAAGATTGCCAAATGAGCATTTTAGAATCCAAATTCCAATCATCTTCAGGAACAGTGTAAACCTTTCTATTTCAGTTTAAAGTTTTGCTTTAGCAATCAATAGTGTTCATAACATTAAACACACCTCTGTTCCCGTTTTAGTAAAAAGGCAAGATAGACGCTTGTTCTCTACAGCATAAAAAATGGGACATGCCATGAAATCTGCTGGGTGCTTGGTGTTCCTAAACTCTTTTATATGAAAAGCAGATGAGTGCTGCAGTGAATGGCAGTGAAAAGCGCTCACCTAAGTGGTGAGATCAGCGACATCAAACTAGCCTTTACATGCACACCCAAATCTGTAGGACTGCCCTGAAGCAATTACCTGTACCCTAGCTCTGCTCTAACACCTGCCCCTGCGTTACCCTCTTCTACTCTCTTACCTAACCCTCTAGAAGCATCTTGGATGAGGGTGTTCACGCTTTAAGAGTGTGACTGCAAGCTCTGACCAAACCAGTGATTAACAATTAAGCAAAGTCTTTTCAAATGTGAAAATTGTTGACGTTGTCTCCTCCTGGCATGCAGTTCCCAGTACAGCCTGGCCAAGTCACTGTGGCCATCCTACTCCTTTCCACCTGTTTGGATACTGAGGAAACTGTGGGGCTGTCCCACCTTTGTGCATCTGCCTTTTAAAGGTCATCACGACTTCTCGCAGCGCACCCCCGACCTCCCCGGCAGCCATGGCCGGTTGCTAGTCAGGGTGGGCGGGCTGGGTACCCGCCGGCCGCGTGTGAAGGCGAGCCGTGGGGGCGAGAGCGCGAGGCCGGGCAGGCGAGCGCTTGGGTATCGCTTCCTTGGCATTTCTGAAGGAGGAAAGATCTGCTGTCGCAGCGGGCTTTGACTTTGTGCAACGGTTTCTGTTTCTCCTGCGTGATAGCTGTGAATGGCAGAGGCTGGAGGGCCTCCTCCTTGGACACCTGGCCTCACTTTATACATTTTGCATATTCCCCACTTCTATGCTGTCTTTTGTAAACAGAAAAGCAGAAAGGAGCATTCTTCAGGAGGTGCAAACCTGGGCTACAAATGAGAATGTACTTAATTTTTGTCTTCTGATCTTACACCCCTTGGGCAGTCGACTCTCCTGATCTGTGTCCCAGCCCCTCTGCCCTCACGTTCTCAGCCCAGAGGTCTCTTCTGCTCCATGTGAAGATCAAGTGGCCAGCTGTGATCGTTGCGAGCGCCCCACAACCCCACTAGTGCCCTGTGGCTGTGTCAGAGGGTCGGGGTCCTGCCCTCCAGAGTTCGTGGACCTGCCCTCCAGTGGTTGGGCTTTGCAAATTTGAGTCTTTCTGAGGATGTACACAGTGGTGGCATTTTGAACCCAAATGTATGGTGGGAATAATTTAATTAGTTCAGCAAATTCCTGGTGAAGGACAAGCAAACTCTACTGAGGCTTCCTTTTGCCACTTTTATCAGGGAGATAACTGAGAAATTTCAATACAGCTGTATCAGCTTTTGGGAAAGGCAGCAGCTGCCACCCTGAACTGTGCTGGCCAGCTGAGTTTCACTGCCTTTTACCCACCTTTCTTCCTCCTTCTCAAAAATAATGAACCGTACTAGATACTCTGGGATGTTTGAAGCTCCCCAGGGATGACTCTGTAGGGGGGTCTGGCTGTACCTGGGGAACCCACTGCAGTCTTAACAATTTTTGTGTTCCTGCTGCAGTTTTTGGGTAGTTTTAGCTTCAGAGTCCTGCTGTGGCTGGCCCCATGACACTTGAATCGGGTGACTTGTGTTTGGGAAGATCCCTTAAAGCTTGTTATTGTGACAGAAAATACTGAACAGGTTGAGGTACTGAGGTGATTTCACTGTAGTAAAGTGCTTTTATTTGCTTGCTAAAAATCTGTAGGCGTGTAGCTCCAATACAAACCTCAAAAGGGTAGGAAAATATAAACACAGACTTGCTTCAGATTGGTTTGCATTATCTCCTCTGAAATCCCTACGCATCTACACCATAGTATTAAACTTGGGCAAACTGAAGTGAAATGGATTTTTTTTATTTGGAGGAACTGTAGGTACGAAGAGTTGTGTTTGAATTGTTATTCAAGGTCCTGTAAACATACTCATGCAGAAGAAACTTACTTTCCTTTCACTGGAAATTTAAATTTAATATGTTGAATAGGCTATTTTTATTTCCTTTTTTTGGATCAAGCATGTGTAATTTCTCTCTTTCTCTTGTCTCAAACAGAGATTCACCCTGCAGTGAAACCCAATGTAATCAGGTCAACACCAAGCCTTCAGAGTCCAAGTACAAAACGACTGCTTGCACCCTCCAATCACTCTTCATTAAGTATTTTGGGGAAAAGAAACTACAGCCATCATAATGGTCTTGATGGTATGTGATGGAATATAAAAGAAATATTCTTTTAGTCTGTGAATTGCAAAACTTTCTGTGGACCTGAGATGACATTAAATGAGGGCGTACAGACTGACAGAAATGTAAGATATGGAATAGCATGTGTATGGCATCGATTCTTAATGCAGTGAAGCATTGCGTTTATTAGTTGAACATGGATATATTAATGCCATCTCTTACAAAAACTCCTTTAACCATTTTTCTTACTAATCTTGACATAAAAGGAAAGAAAATAATAAAATTTGGGGAAGGCAGAGGTGCAACATGTTTTATTTTGGCTTATTGCATTGCGTTTTTATTTGAAGAAATATTTTGCAGAGATATGCAAGACCTTTTAATGTACTTTGTGCAAATTTACTTGACACGTACCAGACCTACGAGTTTACAGCCGATCTTTTTGCTAGTATGTGAATTCTAAACACAGCTTAGTCTGCATTCTCAACAGTGTGATTGGTAATAGAGGGAAAATAGCTTCTGGCGTGTTGCACCCCAAGACCAGTGTCACAGAGTCAGTTAAAACAAGAAGTAGTCCTGGCAGTAAGCACTGGTGGAAGGTAGGAGCTTCTTAGCAAGCGACTGTTGCTGCATTTATACTGCTTGCAGAGGAGGAAGCAAAAGATGTGTAGCAGAGGTACATGAGAGGCTTTTGCCATACACTGTGCAGTGCCAGAGGTGATGTTTAAGCCTGCTGCATCCAGCCACTTCATTACAGTGTGGTGCAAATGGAGAGTGGATATGAAGCTGTGCAAAAAAAGGTGGAAATTTGTCAGTAAGGCTAACTTTTCTCAAATAATCTTTATTTTTTATTCTGAAAAGTGACCATGTATTAATCATTTATTTAAAAAAAAAAAACATTACCAAAAAGAAACATTTTCAACTGGAACTGTGGACATGTTTACCTCATGTCCAAATAAGAGGAGAATCCAGAAGGATATAATTTGTTCACACTGAAAAGAAATGCATGCGTTCCTGAGCTCTCTTTTTGTGAGATGTAACCTCTGTAAGCCGTTGGCTTATTTGTTCTGTAATTGCATAAGGTTGTTGAGATTAGAAATCTGAAAGAAGTTAGGCTCTGAAATAGACTGTTCAGGACATGATCTGCACAAAAGAGGTGACTGTTTTCATGCTTCGCAGAATAGGTCGAGGTAGAAATGAGAGGGACTCGCCTTTTAGGCATGCTAATAGAAATAGCACTCCAAATACAGGAAGAAAAACTTGATCCATTATCCATAATCTTCCTATAATGATCGTGTTTTTCTGTCATTGCCAACGCTATTTGTGTCTTGCAGTGAAAATACCTACTAGACATTTAATAATACCTAGGTAAATCACTACGTGCTTTGACAAAAAGTGGTTATTTAGTATACACAGAAGAGAGGATTGCTTGGACCTCTGCTCCGTGCACAAACAGCCATTACACAGTAGGCAAATAACATGCATGGCAACACAAGCTATTCAGTGGACCAAGATGACAACCACGTGACTTGGAAGAAAAGATGATCACATGGATAGGCATAGCCATAAATGCTGCATTTCCACTGCAGTCTTTGAGTGTGAAGTTCTGCAGGACAGTCTGGTAGTTGCTGCATGGGAACGAAGGCTGCTTCCCCCTTCCACCAGTGCTGGCCACTAACCTGGGCTCTCCATATGAGCTTTGAGTGATGAATGGCTTTCACCCGGGAGTAAAGCTGGTGTTGCATTTCTGCTGCAGAGAAGGCTGTAGCAAAAAGTTCAAGGTAAACATGATGATGATGTCCCTCCTTATGCCCTTATAAGGAGGCAGGCTTGGAAGTCTTTGAAGTTTTTCTTCTACTTAGTACAGATGCGCTCTTCAAAGTAAAGGATGGATAAAACCAGTCATTAGCCACACTGATTAGTTTGTATCAAAGTCAGCTAACTGTGTTAGGCAATGTGCACAAAATAACATCTAATTTGAAAAATTAGTATTGAAAACTGTAATTTATCTCCAATGCTTTAGCAGGTAACTATTTCTGCTTATCTATTTTCTGTGAAAACATAACTTACTGAAAGCATATATCCAAAATAACTGAAATCTGTGTTTTGTTAGCGTGAAAATAGCTATTTCAGTATTTAAAAAATCACCATTTTTGTTCTTGTCCTAGTCCCTCTCTTTAATTAAAAGTCTGCAAAGTGTGAATAAAAGGCAAAGAAAAAGCAACAAACCAGTAGTAATGATACGCAGCAACACAGGTCCTCTGTTCCTTTTGACTTAGGAATTATTACCTTTAATATTTACTATTTAACTCCTCCTCTGGCTATTGGTAAATATAAAATACATTTTTTTTGGCTACAATTTATCCAGCTTCTCTTCAGTACACAGCAAAAACTCTGTGACCAGATCAACTTGGGAAATGGTGATTTCTATGTAATTGCACTGACCACCGTGTCCTATTTGTGCAGTGAAAGGTTTTGCCAACCTCCAGAGGTTTTGTGTGACTATAAATATACTAAAAAGCTTTTTTGGTTCCGAAATACTCCAAAAAATTGATTGTTGGAGGGTTTATTGCGTTGCATCAATTAACAGTATGCAGAAGGCCTGCTATGGAGCTGCTGCTATATTCAGTCTTTCAATGCATGCTTTGATTAAATGAGCAAACGAAAAGAAGCACAGTGGGCTTATATTAAGTCTTATCTCTTGCTGTTGTTAATGTTATTGACATAGAAATGTCTGCATGTTCAGGTTTGCTGTTTTCCAACAGTATTAGAAATCTGTTGTAAAGAAGCCATATAAATATGTTTGCTTAAGATACACAATAATTTACAACATTGAAGTAAATGTCACATAGGCTTGTGCAAATATATATTTAAATTGGCATATTTAAAGTCAGGCTTCCTGCATAGGTGAGTGCCATATTTTGAAAGAATTTGTTATTAAAAAATAATAATTATTGGCTAAGAAATAAACCAATGATACTTCTTTATGCCTGTATGGGGGGGTAGGGGAAGATTATAAGAAACTTCATTAATATTTGGTTTAATGTGTTTAAGGGTGATAAACATGAACACGATTAGCGTTTCTTAGAGAAATCTTATGTTGGCTTGAGTCTTGATTTTGGCCAATGCAGCACAAGTTTTGCTTTCATTTTTTTTCATGGATGCACCTCCAGCAAGAGTCTGATGCAACTGCTAGGGGTGAGGGAGTCTGTCATTTCTGACTATTATTGCTCTGTCTTTGTCAAGAATGATGATGGAGCTCACTTATCTCTTCATAAATGGTGGGGCTTGTGCCCTGACGTCTTGCCATTAACTGATCTGAGTGTCAGTCACTGGTGTCTGAGAGATGTAGTTTTATGCACGAACCCACGTATAAGGCATAGACATAAATAAAATCACGCTGCTTAAGCATTGTGTATTGTAACTAGATAGACAGAAGCTCTTGTAGCTGTTTGTGTCCTTTATTGTAGGAGGAGGGCTTTTCCTGGATGATCTTAGGAAAGTGTTTTTCCTTTTATTTTCAAACAACAATAAATCTTGCATTCGTAGGACGGAATGAAAAATGCCAGAAAGCTTTTTTCCATTTTGGAAAAAAATCACAGTACTTTGGAGAGTTTTTGTGTAATATGTATGGTGGTGCTTTTAACTACTCTGAGATGCAGTATTTCCATTGCTGCTGAGAATAAAGCCAACACAAGATATTGAAGTTGTTCTCAGCAGTGACAGTCTCTTTCAAATGGGAAAATTCCATCTTCAGAAAATCACAACGTTGCAGAATGTTACGTGTATCCAATTTTATGACTGGAGTTGATGATGGGAAGATTTAGGTGTGACTGTAAAGTGCTTTGTAGATATTTTGCATCTGATCTTTAAATTACAGTGTCTGAAATTATTCCGAGCAATTACTTTCACCCACAAGCTGCTTAACTGTGAGCAACAGTACATCCAAGTAGTCAAGTTTCACATCAGGCTATTGTTTTGGCAGGGTGAGTAATGATAATTTTCCTTATAATATTTGGAAAGATCAGTAGAGGTATGTTACGTGAGTAAAATCTGTCAGCTGGCAGCCATTTCCTTACTTGTACATGCATCAGAACCAGAATATCCCCAGGATGTCCAGGATATTAACGTCACTAATGAGGTACAGAAATCACTCTGTGCCTGTTGATACCGTTTCATGACTTGTGGGCAGAAACAAGACAACCGGTTGTTAAAAGCTGAAGAGACTTTAATCAACAGGCCTGATCCTCCTTCTCTCTTCTCCTGCCCAGACCTTTAATGCTGTATTTCAGGCTGAGATGTCCTGATGCTTTCAGGAGGGTTCTTTCAACAGTCTCATTTCTGTTCCTGAATGTACTGAAGTGTGCAGCTATAGCTAAGAATGAGACAGCAATTTTTGGGTCCCTTTTCCTAGGAACCCGCACATCTCTGGCACAGCAAGATGAGAAAGTGGCACGAGCAATTGGCAAAGGGAGAAAGACCGCAAAAATAATGTACCTTCTCTCTTAGATGCTATTTTGGTCGATGCTTCTCTCTCTGATTATGACTAATAGTATTAGCTATTGAGGAGATAAGCAAGGAACAAAGGCTTATATTTCATTCCTATTTTCCCATGAGGATTTTGAGACTCTCCTTGGGCAAACATGAAAATATAAGCAGCATAACTGATGAGCAGGTAGAGAAAACAATTCTAATATGTCCTTCATCATAATTAACTTCACATAACCCTATGTGAAAGTACATTAGAAGGAAGGAGTTTTCACTGTAGGATGGAATTTCTCAGCAGAGGGAGTTGTTTTTTTTCTCAGATGTCTCTGATTGTTGTTATCCCATTAGTATTTTTCGGTAGAGATGTAGGTGTTCTGCTGTGATGGCGGTCTAGCAGAATGAAATACATACCAAAAACTACCTGGCACTCCATTACTTTAAAAAATAAAACCTTAAATTTTCCCTGACATATTAATAAACTCTAAACCCACCTAAATTGTTATAAGCCTCATTTTACATACCAGTGATTTCCAAGT